GTACTTAATTGTGACCACCTAAACAAGGCCCCATGTACTTAATTGTGACCACCTACCCAAGGCCGTGTGTACTTAATTGGGGCCACCTACCCAAGGCCGTGTGTACTTAATTGGGGCCACCTACCCAAGGCTGTGTGTACTTAATTGGGGCCACCTAACCAAGGAGCCATGTACTTAATCAGGGCCACCTAACCATGGCCCCATGTACTTAATTGTGGCCACCTAACTAAGACCCTGTGTACTTAATTGTGGCCACCTAACTAAGGCCACATGTGTTTAATTGTGGCCACCTAACTAAGACCCTGTGTACTTAATTGTGGCCACCTAACTAAGGCCACATGTGCTTAATTATGTCCACCTAACTAAGGCCACATGTGCTTAATTGTGGCCACCTAACCAAGACCCTGTGCACTTAATTATGACCACCTACCCAAGGCCACTTGTACGTAATTGTGGCCACCTAACCTTGGCCCCATGTACTTAATTGTGGCCACCTAACCAAGGCCCCATGTACTTAATTGTGGCCACCTAACCAAGGCCCCGTGTACTTAATTGTGACCACCTAACCAAGGCTCCATGTACTTAATTATGTCCACCTAACCAAGGCCCCATGTACTTAATTGTGGCCACCTACCCAAGGTCCCATGTACTTAATTGTGACCACCTAACCAAGGCCCCATGTACTTAATTGTGGCCACCTAACCAAGGCCCCATGTACTTAATTGTGGCCACCTAAGACCCTGTGTACTTAATTGTGGCCACCTACCCAAGGAGCCATGTACTTAATGACAACCTACCCAAGGCCCTTTGTACTTGATTGCGGCCATCTACCCTTGGCCTTGTGTACTTAATTGTGACCACCTAACCTTGGCCCTATGTACTTAATTGTGACCACCTAAACAAGGCCCCATGTACTTAATTGTGACCACCTACCCAATGCCGTGTGTACTTAATTGGGGCCACCTACCCAAGGCCGTGTGTACTTAATTGGGGCCACCTACCCAAGGCCGTGTGTACTTAATTGGGGCCACCTACCCAAGGCCGTGTGTACTTAATTGGGGCCACCTAACCAAGGAGCCATGTACTTAATCAGGGCCACCTAACCAAGGAGCCATGTACTTAATGGTGGCAACCTACCCAAGGCCGTGTGTACTTAATTGGGGCCACCTAACCAAGGAGCCATGTACTTAATCAGGGCCACCTAACCAAGGAGCCATGTACTTAATGGTGGCAACCTACCCAAGGCCCTGTGTACTTAATTGGGGCACCTAACCAAGGAGCCATGTACTTAATCAGGGGCACCTAACCAAGGAGCCATGTACTTAATCAGGGCCACCTAACCAAGGAGCCATGTACTTAATGGTGGCAACCTACCCAAGGCCGTGTGTACTTAATTGGGGCCACCTAACCAAGGAGCCATGTACTTAATCAGGGCCACCTAACCAAGGAGCCATGTACTTAATGGTGGCAACCTACCCAAGGCCCTGTGTACTTAATTGGGGCACCTAACCAAGGAGCCATGTACTTAATCAGGGGCACCTAACCAAGGAGCCATGTATTTAATTGTGGTCACCTAACCAAGGCCACGTGTACTTAATTGGGGCACCTAACCAAGGAGCCATGTACTTAATCAGGGGCACCTAACCAAGGAGCCATGTATTTAATTGTGGTCACCTAACCAAGGCCCTGTGTACTTAGTTGGGGCACCTAACCAAGGAGCCATGTACTTAATTGTGACCACCTAAGGTCTTGAATTGGCCATTTCAGAATTTCTGTGGTAATGTGCAATTATCTGGCAGACACGAAAACTTTATTTGTGCAATGCAAGCTACGAGTCTTCACAATTTGATACCAAAACTTAACATTGGTACATGTACCCTAACCCTAACCTACACATAAACAAAACATTGCATGCTAGGTTTTTCCAGTCAGCCTTACCTACCACATTGCCCTAATAGTCATTTTAAATGATCCAGCATACTAGGTAATTATTGTTTATGTGCACATCCAATAAAGTCCACAATAAAACCATTAGATATTTTCTAGTGTATTTGGGATAAACTACTTCGAAGCATTCCACCCAGATCAGACAGCACAGTTGACAGTAACTAGTTCCATGGCAGATATTTTATAGCGCACACTTTCACAGCGTTTGTTTTAGTTGTATTAATCAACAGCATTTCATACTCGGAATGAGTATCAAATGTCTTGGTATTAAACTGAATGATTTACCTAGCCGTGATTAAGATCCGGGAAGGTATTTTGCTTCATCTGTCAATTATATACACATCGTCAGTATACGAACGATGTGTATATAAATTGACAGACTAAGAAAAATATCTTCCCAGACCTAAAACCGCATCTATGATTTACCCTGCTGGGGTTTCACCTCTTTATTTTTCTGGGACTTTAGAGCCGATTTGTGACCTTCACTTTTATCATGCTTCTTGAGACCTCTTGTGATCAGTATGGACAGTAACAAACTTGACTTGCGCACATTTCCTAGTACCATAAAATAATTTATTTTGGCTGGAATTAATTTTCGCTGCAAAGACATGGCCTATTTGTATGACATTTATTTTCCCCCTAAGTTTTGACGAGTTGAATCTGCTAAGAAATCATGAAATTGAGTTCGAACATTGCAGACTTGCTTATGGGGAGTTGAAGAACCAGCAATTCTGAGAGACTGAATATACAAAATATATCTTAACAAGTCATTGAAAATGACACAGTCCCGGTTAAATGATTGAAAGTTCTCTTTGTGCTCGTCATATTAAAGCGGAGGGATTGTCGGGAGAGTATCCTTGAAACTTGAGTTCCAAGTGTCGTATACAACAGATTGTTTATTTACATCAAAACACGTGTTCCATGTACTAGTAATATGGCCAAAATAAAAACAGCCATTATTCGGCCATCTTTGATCTGATTATGAAACACACTGATATGTATGATATATGTGCCAAATACGAATAAAAATGGTACATAAATTGTGGAAATATAGTAGTAAGGCCAAAAAGTCAGATGGCTGTCTATCGGTCATCCTTGATCAGATTTTGAAACAAATTGTCATGGACATGCATCCTAACATGTATATGTATAAAGTACATGTATGTGCCAAATTGGAATGAAAACTAACAGAGCACGTCCAAGATACCCCATAAAAAAAACAAGATGCCTGCCAGCAATCTTTGATCCAATTGCGCAATAAATCGTCATGGACATGTATCCCAACATGTATAATCTATGTACCAAGTTTGAATGACAAAGCATGTCCAAAATACAACATTTTCAAAAAACAAGATGGCTGCCAGTTGGCCATCTTTGATCAAATTGTGAAATAAATCATCATGGATGTATAATCTATGTACCAAGTGTGAATGAAAACTGACAAAGCATGTCCAAAATACAACATTTTCAAAAAACAAGATGGCTGCCAGTCTGCCATCTTTGATCCAATTGTGAAATAAATCATCATGGACATGTATAATCTATGTACCAAGTGTGAATGAAAACTGACAAAGCATGTCCAAAATACAACATTTTCAAGAAACAAGATGGCTGCCAGTCTGCCATTTTGAATCGAATCGCTAAACCACTGCATGTGCACATGTCCCACATAAAGTACTAGGCACATGCAAAGAATGAACAGAATCGGTCGTAGGGATTCTGAGATACAACTCCGGACGGATGAACGGGGGCACGGACGGAGACCGAATTATAAGTCCCCGTTTTCGGACTTCGTCCGAACAGGGACTAATAAATGACAGACAAAATTAAATGTTGTAATAGTTATGTATTTTCAACACCTTTCCTGCCTAGGACAATAATCTATTAATAAATGTTAGGTTTTCTAAAAACCAATCAATACAATCATTTGCAGGAAGTAAAAGCTACAACAAAGACATGTACAAAGAGTAAAAGTATCATTACAATATTCAGCTAAAATCACAAGACTTGTTCCTACAAAATTGTTTACAAGATACAATACACTTGTAAATTGTCTAAAAACTCTACAATAATTGTAACACTCAAGACATACACAATAAGCTGATTTTAAACTCAGTTCATAGAAGTCTCTCAGTGAAAAACAAAACAGATTAAATGTGTTTTGTTTTTATTTATTAATTGTATTGATGAAACAACCCTTTCTGGAAATTGACATGATTAGATTCAAGGCGGCACCATTTTCTCAGTCATTTGCTAGTCAAATTGAACAGACACTGGAACAATTGTTACGCTAAACTACTGTTCAGGAAAATGAATTAGTTTTTTACTTAGTAAACATAGAATGGCCTGAGCCATTGCTCGCATGCTTGGAAATTCTCATTAAAAATAATAATAAAAATTAAATGTGGCAGTAATTAAAAAAACATTAAAATTCCTATATTAGGAAATGTGGTTATACATTCTACAGGCAGTATTATAAAACGAATGATATGATTCAAAGAAGACAGGATATAATGAATAAGATGTGTATATATAAATGAGTATATGAATGAAACAACTGAAAAAGATACATCTTGACAATATTAGTTGTAAAACAATACAAAGTCCTCTGCAAGAAATGGACACTCAATCAGTTTATAAAAAAATTTCTTGGCAAAAGATTAAAAAAAAATTAAAATAGTCACTGCAGTCAAAATTAAAAGAATACAGTTCTCTTATTTATAGGTTTAAATAATTTTTTTAAAAATAGTTTACTTTCTTCGTGCCCTAAGCGACCTTTTCGGTGCAGGTGACTTGGCTACTTTTTTTGGAGTAGGTTTCACCTTTGTGGATTGTTTCTTAACTGGAGATTTTGCGACTGCCTTGGACCGAATTGAGCGAGCTTTCTTTGGAGAAGGTGATGAAATGTCTTTGTCAGGTGCACTCCTTTTAGCATTTCTAACGCTTTTTTTCACCTCATTTTTCTTGGCAGTCTTATTGGGCTGTACAGCAATATCAACTGAAGCATTTCTTTTAGTTGCACGTTTAGTATCAGTTTTTGTTTCAGTCTTGAGGCTAAGTGGAGATTTTGTAGGTTCAGCTTTGATTCCTCTGCGAGATTTTGCTGAGGCTGCTATTGGTGTTTCAGGTTTCTTCACAGGGCTTACAAGTTTGGCTTGTCTTCCCCTGCGAGTTTTTGCTGGTGTTGCCTTTGGTGTTGCAAGTTTCTTAACAGGGCTTGCCTTTGCTGTAACAGGTTTCTTCACTGGGCTAACAGGTTTGGCTCGTCTTCCCCTGCGAGTTTTTGCTGGTGTTGCCTTTGGTGTTGCTGGTTTCTTAACAGGGCTTGCCTTTGGTGTAATCGGTTGGCTTGTCTTCCCCTGCGAGTTTTGCAGGCGTTGCCTTTGCCGTTTCAGGTTTCTTAACAGGGCTTGCATTTGGTGTAACCGGTTTGGCTTGTCTTCCCCTGCGAGTTTTTGCTGGCGTTTCCTTTGGCGTCTCAGGTTTCTTAACAGGGCTTGCCTTTGGTGTAATCGGTTTGGCTGGTCTTCCCCTGCGTGTTTTTGCTGGCGTTGCCTTTGGCATTTCAGGTTTCTTAACAGGGCTTGCCTTTGGTGTAACCGGTTTGGCTGGTCTTCCCCTGCGAGTTTTTGCTGGCGTTGCCTTTGGCGTTTCAGGTTTCTTAACAGGGCTTGCCTTTGGTGTAATCGGTTTGGCTGGTCTTCCCCTGCGTGTTTTTGCTGGCGTTGCCTTTGGCGTTTCAGGTTTCTTAACAGGGCTTGCCTTTGGTGTAATCGGTTTGGCAGGTCTTCCCCTGCGTGTTTTTGCAGGCGTTGCCTTTGACGTTTCAGGTTTCTTAACAGGGCTTGCCTTTGGTGTAACCGGTTTGGCTGGTCTTCCCCTGCGAGTTTTTGCTGGCGTTGCCTTTGGCGTTTCCTTTGGCGTTTCAGGTTTCTCAACAGGGCTTGCCTTTGGTGTAACCGGTTTGGCTGGTCTTCCCCTGCGTGTTTTTGCTGGCACTGCCTTTGGCGTTTCAGGTTTCTTAACAGGGCTTGGCTCTGGTGTAACAGTTTTGGCTTGTCTTCCCCTGCGTGTTTTTGCTGGCACTGCCTTTGGTGTTGCAGGTTTCTTAACAGGACTTGCCTTTGCTGTAACAGGTTTCTTCATTGGGCTAACAGGTTTGGCTTGTCTTCCCCTGCGAGTTTTTGCTGGTATTGCCTTTGGCGTTTCAGGTTTCTCAACAGGGCTTGCCTTTGCTGCAACAGGTTTCTTCACTGGGCTTGCCTTTGCTGTACCAAGTTTGGCTGGTCTACCTCTGCGAGTCTTTGCTGGTGTTGCTTTTAGTGTTTCAGTTTTCTTCACTGGGCTCACAGCTGGTACGACATTGGTCCCTCTGGGAGATTTGGCCAACTTAACAGGTGTTGGTGTTTGGGGTTTCTTAGAAGGTTTTGTTGCCGGAGTCTTTGGAGAACTTGCTTCAAGTAACTTGGCAGGAACAGGTGAATTAGCATTGGGTGCAGTTGCTGGAGTAACTGCGGCAACCTTGGCTTTTTTGGATACAGGTGGTGATGATACAGAGTCCATCATTTTGCGTTTATTTCCTTGTTTAGGAGTAGCAAACATATCTGCTACACCCGTGAGGTCTTCTGATGGTTGTTTCTGTTTGGGAGATTTCATTATTCTAGCAACACCAATGAAATCATCTACAGCCCTTGTCTTTTGTCTGGGAGATTTCAAAATTCTTGATAATCCAGCAAGACCCAAGCTTTTTCGACTAACTTTAATGTCGCTCTTTGGGGTTGGAACTGCTTTTACTGGCTGGGCTTCGTTTGTTGGAGTCTTAGTGAGTTTCAATGGCAATATCATTTTATCTACAGATTTCTTCCCTGGAGTTGGTTTTGATTTCACCGTTTTGCCAACTTTAGTAGGAGTCTGGGTAGGTTTCAATGGTGATGACATTCTCTCCAGAGATCTCTTCCGTGGAGTTGGCTTTGCTTTTACTGTTTTGCCAACTTTAGTAGGAGTTTGGGTAGGTTTCAATGGTGATGACATTCTCTCCAGAGATCTCTTCCGTGGAGTTGGCTTTGCTTTTACTGTTTTGCCAACTTTAGTAGGAGTTTGGGTAGGTTTCAATGGTGATGACATTCTCTCCAGAGATCTCTTCCGTGGAGTTGGCTTTGCTTTTACTGTTTTGCCAACTTTAGTAGGAGTTTGGGTAGGTTTCAATGGTGATGACATTCTCTCCAGAGATCTCTTCCGTGGAGTTGGCTTTGCTTTTACTGTTTTGCCAATTTTAGTAGGAGTTTGGGCAGGTTTCAATGGTGACATCATTCTATCAACGTCTTTGTATATAGTCTTCTTCGGTGTAGACTTCACAGTAGTTGCCATTTTAGTTGGTGTTTTAGTGGGCTTCAGTGGTGTCAACAACCTTGTAGGAGTTCTGCTTTCACTTGAAGATCCAGGAGAGGACATTGGAGACACAGTCATCTCACCTGGTCCCTCTGGAGTCATCAATTCTGACGGAGTAACTGGAGTCATGGGTGGCGTATTCAAATTATACTTTGGTGTTTTCTTCAGTGATTTGGGAGTTCTTATTGCTTTTGGTGAAGGTGTGCTGAACATCTCTACCATTCCAGTAAAACTTTCATTAGCTGCAGCTCCCGACAATTTTAGTGATTCTTTTCTACCTTTGCGAGGACGCTTAACTGGTTTTGGGGTGTTAACACGTCTTTTACTTTTACCAATAACAATGGTGGCCGGAGAATCAGCATGGCCAGTAGTTCTAACACCAGACAGCAGCTTAGCCTATCAAAAAAATTGAAAGTGAAATTAGAAACAAATTGGCTCTATTAAAAGAGAAATCTTTAATGAAACCAGATAAAAATAAACAATTGCAGTTACTGTAAACTACATCTTTAAAACTTTACAAAGTTATCATGAGAATACCAGAAAGTAAGTACAAGGGCAGTACGGCTATCATAATGACAAACATGTAGCGGAGGTTGATGCGTTTCCATACTGCCTGAATGCACACTTTGTGGTGTTCTTGTGATTACCTTATTATTATATTACATTTTTCCTACTTGTAACAATTTTATGACAGTTCAAAACGACAATGAAAAACATTTTGTGCTGTAGAATTGTTTGAAGGGATCCAAAGACTCCAATTTTTGACATTCGTTATACTTTTGGAAACAAAATATCGCATGGCAATGATGGCAACCCACTACTCGTCACAGGTCCCCTGGCAAGTGACCAGCCAAAAGCCTGTCTTTCCTGTCTCGAGGCACAAGCCTAGGTGGCCATTTGCTCAGCTCAGCCAATCAAAATTACATTACTACCCCACCAGGTGCTATTTTACCCAGCATAAGAAATACAGCCACCAAAATGTGACACGGTCCCCCATTTTACGGCGAGCGTGCCAGAATGAAAATAAATGTTAGAACCAGTGCAATTTGAGGACCATGTACTTTTAAATTCAACCATAGTACTGACAATAATATGGTACTGTACCTTTGCAGGAGTGGCTCGTCGTCTCAGTAATTCTACAGATCTGTGTACAGCTACAACTCTATGCTTCAATGGAAATGAGCGTACAACTGTAGGCAGATCTACTTTGTTTTTGGCAACACCCTTTTTTACAATGTCAGCCCATCTGTTCTTTGGTGCTTGAGTGGTAATAGGAGTCTTCTTTGCAGACCTGGGGGTCTTCTTTGCGGACCTGGGGGTCTTCTTTGCGGACCTGGGGGTCTTCTTTGCAGACTGAATGTCAATATAAGCAGATAAAATTATGAACAAATATTTTCGCCGTGACATTTGGACTGCACACAAAATGCATTTTAAGGTGAAATCAATGTCGTACAGCATTCTGGAATCATTCACAGATACACAAGGAAATAAAATGTGGCATTTTTAGTTGCACAATAAACACAGCAAATTTCTCTAATTTGGTTTTAGAAAATTTCAACCCTCCCTCTCCCCCCCTTTTCCATTAGTCCATTTGTGCAATTTAGATTCCCACACAAAATTGCATACAATGTAAATTTCTAATATTTAGAATTTTTGAGTCCATGTCACTTGTATCACATAAATATTCTACTTTTTTAGTTGTACTTTCAATAAAATATCCAAAATATTCCCAAAAATCAAGCTCACTCCATACATTAGAGTTTATCTATAGATTTATTCCAATGTGAATGCTGTTTTTCTCAGCATACATAGAAGGCGTGCTCTCCTCAATCAACCTGATAAACAACACAGCTCAGATATTACAATGAATACAATAGATGTAACACATTGTTATGCAAATTAACTTGCCATGATATTTTGCAGGGGAGAACAATGCAAAAAACATGCATTTAATCCTAAATTTGGGTCTGGTTAAAAGAAATTTTTTTAAAAACAAAAATGATAAAATTTAAACAAATTTTTGAAAAACATTGCGTCAGTTTAATAATGTTACAAATACAACCTACCTTCTTTGAGGGAGTTTTCTTCAATGGTGTAGATACTCTTTTTGGAGTGATCTCCTTTGAAGACTTGGCAGCTGATTTTACTGGAGATTTTTTGGGTGTGGTGGTGGTCTTTTTCACCACAGGACTTGGTGTCTTAACTGCTGTAGATACCTTTGGACTGGCTGCTTTCTTTGTAGATTTTGGTGTAACTGGTTTTGGCGATCCTTTGGGTATGGGAGACTTCTTGGTTGTTGGCTTTACGACTTTACCACCACTAACTCTTCCCCCCTTTGCGGGTGATGGAGTTTTGAACAAATCTGACACACCGGTAAAACTGGTATCAGCAACAGCAGGCACATTTCCTGATTTTCTTTTTGATGCAACCTTTTTGGCAGGGGTTCCTTTTAGAGTCTTGATTGGAGTTTTTATTGCAGGTGAATTGGTCAGTGTCTTAGTCTTTGCAGGACTTTGTGTCCTAACTGCTGGGGATGCCTTTGGACTGACTGCTTTCTTCACAGATTTTGGAGTTACTGGTTTTGATAGAGCCTTAGGAGATGCTTTCGGCGTGGGAGTCTTCTTAGGGGATGATTTTGGCGATTTTTTGGGCGTGGGAGTCTTTTTTGGCTTTACAATTTTACCACCACTGACTCTTCTTCCTTTTGCTGGTGATGGAGTCTTGAACAATTGTGCCACACCAGTGAAACTAGCATCACTGACAAGCGACAGCTTTTTGAGCTGCTTTGGAGTTAAATTGTTAGGACTAGATGCTTTTGGTGACTTTGCTTTAGGCAACTGCTTTGGACTCGCTGCTTTCTTATTTGGAGATATCTTGGGAGACTTGACTTTGGGAGATGTTTTGGGGCTTGATGCCTTTTTCACAGGTGTTATTTTCTTGGGAGACTGCTGTTTTACTGATCCAGTTTTTGGAGATTCTTCAGCAATTGTAGCAGTTACAGGGGTAGCTGCAATTGAATACCGGGCACGCCTTACTGGTGTGCCCATTTTGGGAGATTTACATGGAGTGGATTTACGTCTACTGGAAGGTGCCAAAGCTCCACGGCGAATCGGTGTATTTGGAGGTAGTCGCTTGTCAAAATGCTCAGGACTCAGCTGGGGACCAAATGATACTCTTTTGCGTTTGGAACTCATTGCTACACTACCAACTGACTTCCTTTTCTGTCCTGATGAAGGAGTTTTTCTTTTTGCTGTAAAAAACAAAAAACAAAGGAAGCTTAGAAAAATCTGTATTTGTAATAAATTTTAAACTTTATATACACAAACAAATTTTGAAAACTATTGAGAACAGTTTAAGAATTAACATTCTAACAACGCATTTCAGGGATCTCGCCAGCCCAACGCGAGTGCTGATCGGTCATGAATATTAATGAGCTATATGAATATTAATTAGCAATGAATATTAATGAGTTCGGTCGCAGTGCAAAATATTTTTGAAATTAAGACATGTTTCACAATTTAGAAGATTTTTAATTTAAAAATTTAATATATTCGAAATGCGAATGCTGCAGACTAAAAAAACAGAGACAAATAAATTATAGTTGCAATATTTCTATTGCAAAAAGTGAAATAAAACGCATTTGAAACGTTTCAGCCAGGAATATGTTCACGGTCTTATTTACTCTAAATACATTCTCCTTCAAAAAAAGTATTGTTGTAATTTATTATTCGTACCATCAACTTCTAAAACGTATATATTCACAGTAATGTACGAACAAATAAAACTTCCGAACTTTCAAAGTTACGACGTGACATAACTTACTTCACAATGTTATACACCGATTATACCAATAATTCTTCTTACTCAGTCATGATGCAAAGCAAAAAAATTTACTTTTTTTTTTGATTTGAAATAATAGTAAAATTTGACTTAGTTTTATCGGGAGTGAATATTTTTGATCACTCGATCGCTTCGGTAAAAAAACACAGCCCGCCATGATGTTTGTGACGTATTAGTTGACCGGCATGTGTTCTTTGACCCGTCGGGTCAATAATTTCATTAACCAATCAGAATGCCGCATGGTAATGCCGGTAGAATCCGAAGTTTTCCGAATGGTTGTGATCATAAAAATTACATTGCGGAAGTAAAGCGATGTTGTAGCATAATGTGTTGACATCTATTTCAGTTGAAAACTGCACGATGGTTTTCGAAAGAGGAGATTAGCAATTTTTAAAAGGTAAAATAGTTCTTGAAAGAGTTTTTACATGATTCGCGATGATAACAGTTCAAATGTACTTTACCAAATCACGCAATAAACACGTTGATTTTTTTCTTGAGTAGCGTAAACTGTCAGATCGTGAATACTGCTTTGACCATGTTATATCGAGGTATAATTGATTTTGAAAGAATTTTAGCTTTCAATCTAAAGAATGTGTCTATCACAGAAAGTATTTACTTACAAACAAAGAGGTGCTAATTTCACAAGATTGACTAGCTGCTACGTATCGTGCGACTAGGTCTATTGTTTACAGATTATAATCCACGACTGGCAGGATGCGTGTCGGTCGGTACATAATTATAATAATAATCGGACAATAGTCCTGGTCGGAAGCATTTTCGTGATGGTCGCTAATTTTGAGGGCCGGTCGGGGCCGACCACCACCGACCAGCATGGCGAGATCCCTGGCATTTTTAGGTTAATTTTATTGTAATTATACATTATTATTAGACATTTCTAATATAACGGGTACAGTTAAACAAAAGTTGTATATCATATGCATTTAATATATGACTGACAATAGATCAACTATTCTAGAACATTGCATGTGCAAAATCATTATTGGATTTACCTCAATTCTTTGTGATAAATATTTTATAACAAGGCAGTGACATTGAAGGCAACTGTCTTCATCACATTCAAAAATTACAGTTGTTCTCTATGTTATTGCTATATACTACAGCAATTCTATAAAATTTGGCCTTGAAAGTGAGACCCTTTCAACTTTGAAGTTCAAGCCCAAGAATATGCATCCATCAAAGTACCAATCAAGGATGCATGTGGCCAAGAAACTTGACGCGAGAATTTCCTTTCTTGTGACTGGCAAGTTGAAAAAACTAACTAATTTTTTGACCACCAAATTGTATGTATTTTAACCAATTTTCGATGGCCACTGGAGTGGCACTTAATGTTGGGGGGGGGGGGGGTTTAAATCTGCAACAATCCGAATGTAAAAACAAATCTATAAAAAGTGTCCCACCTGCACTCTGTGGTGACTTCACGGCCTTTGGTGAGGCTTTCGGAGACTTCACAGCCTTTGGCGAGGCTTTCGGAGACTTCACAGCCTTTGGCGAGGCTTTCGGAGACTTCACTGCCTTTGGTGAGGCTTTCGGAGACTTCACAGCCTTTGGCAAGGCTTTCGGAGACACCACAGCCTTTGACGAGGCTATCGGAGACTTCACTGCCTTTGGCGAGGCTTTCGGAGACTTCACAGCCTTTGGCGAGGCTTTCGGAGACTTCACAGCCTTTGGCGAGGCTTTTGGAGACACCACAGCCTTTGACGAGGCTATCGGAGATTTCACTGCCTTTGGCGAGGCTTTCGGAGACTTCACAGCCTTTGGCGAGGCTTTCGGAGACTTCACGGCCTTTGGCGAGGCTTTCGGAGACACCACGGCCTTTGGCAAGGCTTTCGGAGACACCACGGCCTTTGGCAAGGCTTTCGGATACTTCACGGCCTTTGGCGTGGCTTTTGGAGACTTCACGGCCTTTGGCGAGGCTTTTGGAGACTTCACGGCCTTTGGCGAGGCTTTTGGAGACTTCACGGCCTTTGGCGAGGCTTTTGGAGACTTGGCAGCCTTTGGCGAGGCTTTTGGAGACTTGGCAGCCTTTGGCGAGGCTTTTGGAGACTTGGCAGCCTTTGGCGAGGCTTTTAGAGACTTGGCAGCCTTTGGCGAGGCTTTTAGAGACTTCACAGCCTTTGGCGTGGCTTTTGGAGACTTCACAGCCTTTGGAGACTTTACTGCCTTGGGCATGGTTTTTGGAGAGAGCTTGATAACCAAAGGTTTAGGGGAACGCTTCACACTCTTTGGAGATGCTCGTTTTAGTGTGGATTTGGGAGACTTTTTCTGTTGTTTTGGAGAAAGCACATGCTCATCAACTTCCTGCACTGGAGCAGAACGTCTTCGGAGAATGCTGATGCCACTCTTTAATGTGGTACTGGTTGGAAGACGAGGACTGTCAACCTGGGGAGCCTGTCAAATAAAGACAATAACCATTAGTGTTCCCTTCAGACTCGAGCATGATGGCTAATTTGCACAACAATAATTTGTATTACTAATCAGTTTTTCACAACAAACATTGGGGTCCAAAATATAATTAATAAAATTAATGAGCCCATCTAACTGCAATTATATTACAACATATTATACTGATTGGGCAAGAGTGTGTTTTAATTACGCAAGCCAAGCATCAAAAGACAGCAACGCTACAGAGGCATTAGAAAAACATCAACAATGATTGAGAGGTGCCATTAATGATTATTCAGCCCTTGTCATAACACCCAAAAAGTCATGATGCAAATAAAATTCAGAAGAAGACACTGAAATGTTTTTTTGATGTGCATCAAGGTTCCATTATGTTCAACACAAGTACCAGATCTGGTTCCAGAATGGTGAAAAATTTTGATACATTTTTGGCCTGGATGGGTCATGAAACAAACATGTGCGCATGTTCAGTATAATGTCTGATGCATCTGTGAAGTTCGGCCCAAGCATGTGCGAGATACAGTTTGATATGGATATACAATCAATAAGTCCTTGTTTGCAGACTGTTCAAACAGGAACTAATAGGGAAATAGAACCAGTAACTAACTTTTAATCTGAATATGACAATACAGAAAACAATGATTTGTTTGGTCCAAGGGAACACATTCAGCTGTTTAGTGAATATAAATTCATTGATCACAGGGTAGAATAAAATAGAGACCAGATTAAATGACTCAATCATAATTGTGCTGCATAATTTTTACCCTGAACACAGGAATTAAATGGTGAATTTTCGACTGACCAGTAAAATACAAATAGTTGCATTTTCAACAAAATTTGGCCATCAACATTATCTCACTGAGAGAAATAAACCAAGACAGTGAAATGTAGACTTGCCTTAGAGCCACTCTTCTTAGATGAGCTGCCAAGTCGTTTGACTTGTAAAGGAGTTTGCTTTGATGGAGTAGCCTTCTTAGATTCTGCTGCTGACAGAGATTGCTGTGTGGAATTGACAATTCTTTCCTGCAGTGATGCTGAGGACAAATACAAAGTATAGAATTAGAACATATTAGAGTATAATTTGGCATAGCATTAGATATTCAGGAATTATAGTGTATGATTTGACCTGACCATGCAAAAAGTTGTGATGTTACAAGTCCCTGCACTTGTCTTCCCCTCATTTCACTTGTGTTTGATACATGTCTCATGTAAAATATAAACCATGTTGCAACATGTGGTATTTATCAACAGTAGTTGAATCACAGGGAGTTGGATAAACTTATGTATTTTAATAAATTATTAAACAAAATGTTATATAACTTTTCTTTAACACCCCCTCCTGGTATCGATGCCACAGTCGTGGCGCATTTCAACCCTTGGGATATTTTACTATAATAGGGAGTGTCTACATCGCCCGTTAAAATTTGCATATAACATTAGCGCGCAACAAAGATTGTGATAAAGGAAAGAGTGGTATAAACAAAGATCAGTGATTACTTGAAATTGACACCAGGAGGGGGGGTAAAAAAAAGAACAGTTATATAACATTTTATTATTTAATAATTTATTAAAATACATAAGTTTGTCCAACTCCCTGTGGTTGAATTCAACAAACTTATTATTTTGCCAGAACTAGTTTTCATGAGCTCAAAAAACTTGATGAAAAGCCGACAGTGAATACTGTACCTTGTTTAGGTGTTGCTACTTTTGGTGATTTCCCAGATAGGATTTTAGACAGTGTCATGATTTTAGATTTGGGAGAATTACAACCAACTACTCTGACTGGAGTGGTGCTTTTGCTGTTCTTTTCACTCCCCAATTCACTAGCTTTCTTAGTCTTTGATTTCGGACTTGGAGATCTGGTAGCAGCGGGCAATGGTGGAGTAATAATTGACTCCTTGGCTGGTGTCTTGGCTGGTGTTTTGAGTGGTGGTGCAATGGGTGAAGACACAGCATTTGTATTCTGCATTGGTTTCTTACCGGGTGTAGATTTTTTAGGAGTTAGACGATGCCTAGATCCTGCTGGATATTCAAACCTACAATACAGATAAAAGATTAGTACAATAATGTAAAAATTTATTGCAATAAATTGGCAACATTTTTACACTCATAAAAAAGGAAAATGTTATTATTGGATTAATAAGGGTAATTAACTAAACTAATAAGCATTCAACTGTTTTACTAATAATTAGTAACTTAGTATCAGATACAACACTTGCTATATGAGGTAGTTACTGTGTTACTTAAAATCATCAAAACAGTAAGAAGCAGTCATACACAATTTGCACAAATACTTACCTGAACGATCTATCAATAATTGTGAAAACATCCATGTGTTTAATCTGTTCCTGTCCCGATACTGCCCTTTTGTTTAACAATGTTGGATTAACTCCACTCAGGTTAGCTAGAAATACCTGGAAAAGAATGTTAAAAGCAGTGTTTATAGTGTCCTGTCATGTTGACATGGTGATGTCTATACCATATACAGAGTTCTGCTTGGCCTGCCCAAGTGTCTGAAGCTAATTACTATTTTGATTTAAGGATGTAGTAGACTTTCGTGGTGATTTTTTTCTTCATATTTTTTTCTTTTATTAAATGGTGACTTATACCTATAGACAGCCATACGACCTTGTTTTTTTTATTAAATCACGTTTTTATTTTAAGAAAAACGGCTTTTTTTAAAAAATAATTTACAATTAACGGAAACCCCGAGGAATGTGCACTTCGACTAAGCCCCTCTGAGCCAAAACAATAACATTTGTAATTAGCTTAATCCCGCAAATAAACATCGCGTGTACGCGTCCGGTCAAATGACCGGATACACTCACTCGTTGCTGATAGTTCATCGCATCGCTTTTCTCTACTATATATTACTGTTCATTTATTTTGTTTTGACCAAGTTTATTTTGAAGAATAGCACAGGGAAAAAATTGGAAAAAAGAGTGTTCCAATGACAGGCGAAACCTAGAACACTAAGCCGGGGTATTTGAAACCGAAACTGTCATCTAATCGTTAGGCCGTCGCTGATTGGCTGCTGAGCTAGAATGCCAATTTTTAGTTTCAAATACCCCCAGGAAAGTGTTGTAGGTTCTTCGTGTAATTAGGTGTTCGTATGCAAGGGATTTTTCCACACAAAAACGACGAATTCGGCCGAGTTTTGTTATTGGTTGGCCTAATATAACCCCAATGAACCGTATTTTTGTGAAAGATTAGTATTTTTGTCCTGATTTGTAGGAATCTGAAAAACAAGTTTCACAACTTGTCTCTTATTTAGTTTTATGCGTCATTCAAGATGGCGGCCCCATATAGTAAATATCGTATTTATTTTATTATCACGTGTGCGCCAGCTGACTGTGACGGCCATACTTCGTTTTCACGTTGCTTTTTTTCAAATTATCGATTTTTTCATAACTTTATCGGCCATGTACCAAACGGGTTGTTTTGATTTTTATAAAACCAACACAATAGCTATCTTAAACATCAAAAATTAACTGAATAAGATGCGCTGAAATGAAAATATCCTCTCGACTGTGCTACTTTTGGTTTTTGAGTCTTTTCATCCATTTGAAACGTAACGTGTCTAAAACCACAAAAATCACGATTACGCAAACAGTTCTTGTCCGATTACATTGATTTTTTCAGAGATTGAACTCAAGATCAACTGAAAACAAAATGTAAAATATTTTTCAAGTATCAGTTATATTTCATTACTAATTGACCTGTGAAAAAAGAGCACTCTAATTTATTACAAAATTCTTCTCCACCACTTTGTAAAAGAACCAAACAATTCAGAAACCATCTCTTTTACATTACTGTTAAGAACATTGTAGTCTTCCTGTTCTCATAAGTATATGTTGGCTAACTGTTTTCGCTTTCTAGGAGCAGTAAAAATAGCAGAACAATCGATTTTGTTTATTTAGCAGTCACGTGACGCAATTAATGTTGACATTAGTGTTATCATAATTTTTGGATAGCGTGTTGCAAGGGCTACAATAACATGTAAAAATTGTTAGTCATTAATAATTATTATTATTTTTATCAAGCTTTTTTCTGTTTTGCCTAACGAAAGTCTACTACATCCTTAATCTAAGCTATTATAATAAATATTCAAAGCATTTAAAAAAAAACGTGTGTTACAGTCAGTGGTTTTATGAATTTGATCTGCTTTCTTCTGTGATGGAAAGTTGTTAAATCAGAAATAATTATTCCTTGACTATCGATAAAACATCTGTTTCATTAATCACTAGAATTAGACCTGATTATCGTGAACAATTACAGCAATGAAGTATATCCTGAGAAGTGCCTATCATTTAGAAATGCCTTTCTACAGTTTTATGATTCATCATCTTTTATCAATGACAACACATCTTTTTATCAGTTTTTTTTCCCAGTAACCTTACCTCATCATTTTGATTTACATCTATTCTACAGTGTTCCTTAGATACATTTGGCAACTGAATACGAATGTCGCAATCATTCATCCTGAAATCAAATCATAATTCAATGTTAAAACAAAGTAACACATACAGGGATCTACAGAACCCAAGAATTGCAGAAAGTGCTCATCACTAATGTCACATTATTATTGTCATGCATGGAGTTGTAATACCCATTCTTTTCAGCCTGGAAAATAATAGCTATGTGAATGAGAGTCAGTCGCCAAATCAATTACCACATTGAGAAAGTGTTTGTGTTTACATTTGCAAACTACCACATTCGACTAAATAATATTTTGGTTCAACTAATGTCAGCAGTACAAGGTACTGTAGGTATCATAATTTTCAGTAAGTAATTTAAAGTAGGTAGCATTCTGGAGTTGTATCCCACAGAAAATTCTAGGATCTTCAACTGATTTTTCATGTATGAGTAATCTGCACAAATTATTTGCACAAAACTGATGTGATGCACGTCTAATCCAGAAAAAAAATGTTAAAGAATTATACAACTAAATATGATATCACAAACAAAGGACTGGCAAATATTGAGAAATAATAGAATGGAAGATAAATCCAGGAACATTGTACACTATTTATTGCTAGATCAGAATAGAATTTGGGCAGCTAAGCTAAAAATAGACCATAAATGCTTTAACGAATTCATTGTTTGCTCTATGGAAATTCTGCCGTCAGATCAGGATTTGTGAATAGGTGGTGTTACCCAAGTAAATACAATAATAAAATTGATATATTACCTTCCAAGAAGACATTCTGTATTTGTGAGTGGAAACCTAGCTCCATCAGCGCCATTGCGTTTAATAACCACGATATTTCCATACAGTGGCATGATTATGTTTTACAGAGATTCAACTCCGTAGATCCTGTAGAGGGAAATTTAAACAATGACACGCATGTTTGAAATGAACAGTGCCTCACTGGTCAAAACACGTGACCAAACAATTGCAGTTGCTCGACAAGAAGGGCTTCTTCGTGTAGAATGCTGCAATTATACAGCACTGAGACAAATTAAAAATTGTGTGACAGTGAACTCAAAGCAATGGTCAATCAACACACGAACAAGTTCATGTCATCAGTTCATATCAACACACTAGTGTGATTCTGATCTGACAGGTGATGCGAACGACGCTCGCTCACTGGTCCATATGCCGATATTTAATAAACGTCATCAACTACAGTTCAGGAAGCCATATCCATTGATTCAATACACATCAAAATGTTGGGATAAGCACATTTGATTTTAACCGGCCAACATATTGAGCATAGTTAACGAGTGCAAAAAGGGGAGCAACTCTTAATTTAAGTCTTTTAACAAAAGCATGAACATGGCACTGGCAATTAGATGAGAGTAATTACACGAAAACTCACCGATTAAGAAATACCTAACGGCCCACCGATCCTTGTTATGTTACATCAACCTTAAATCTCCACTGGTCCTAACTAAACGCGAACTTTCAGATGAAATATCACAGAATTCCGCGCTTAAAAACTTACGCGAAACTGCGAATCTGCGAACCTCCTCTCAATGTTTGCAACTGACGCGAAATGCCTGTTCACACAAAATAAGGCTCCACCATAACATTATAGTTCGCCGGCGATTTCAAAAATATTCAGTTCTTCGTATATGCCAACCATTAATTACGTTTTGACTACAAATAAATAAATATATATATATAATAATAGTTTCAAGATTATAATCTAAGTTTTGCATAAAATCGTAAAAATTTCTTTGCGGATGAATATGTTGATGCTACAAGGCTCGTCAAATCAGTTGACGCCATCAGCGTTTGAATTTCAGCGCCGAGGCACCTGATTGGTTCGCAGGAAAGATAACAAATATTCAAATAAGCTGAATAAGCCTATTGTAATGTTAATATGAGGGGTGGCAGTGAACAAAAGAATGAAATCTTGGGTCATTCGCAGGCTTGCAACCCGGGAATGGATCAGTACTATTAAATTATAAATAAAATATATATAGATCTTTGGTTCACTCACTAGTTTTACGTTATATTTGGTTTTATAGGATATATATATATATATATATATATATATATATATATATATATATATATATATATATATATATATATATATATATATATATATATATATATATATATAT